GGGGTCAGATGGACTGCTCCGGAGGTGAGTTTGGACCATAAAAATTAGATTCGGGCACTTCATTTTAATTGCGCCAGATGTGGTGTTGGTGGTGGTGATGAGGTTTATTGCGTCGATAGATGCCGGTCGATTCTCCCACACTAATTAAGACCTCTTTTGCACACGTCGTCGCCGACATCATTTCCTTTGATTCTACCAATTTCTCTCACCGATTGAGAACTTCGTCCTAAATCCACTATATCATTTTCTGTCCTTAGAATCTAGATTTGCGGTCTTGCTACCGAATCGGTCTTTACACATTTATTCCGTGGACTTCCCCCAAGATGTGGTGTTAGTCTCTCCACGAAGATTGCAGTTGGGTGGATTCTTAAGGCTTTAAATCACAACCAGTGATTTAGCTGTCGCGTTTGACGTCTAAATCACTGCTTATTTATGCCTGTTAGGCCTGTTGAATTGCAGCCTGCACGCCACAGAATGAATCTCACTGACTCACTCAAACCTCGCTGCATGTTTTCGCATCCACAGTGGCTTAGGGTGCTGCAAACAAGCCCTGATTGCTCCTCGTTCTAACTGGCCAGCCCGTTTTTTTCAACCACTGATGGTAATGGTCTCTACCACTCACCAGAAGTGCCCTTATTGTGGACAAATATCTTCCGGTGTGAGTGAGTACACTCATGCGTCCACATTATGCGTGTGTGTGTGTGCATCAGTGTTTTTGACTCTGGCGATAAATCAAACCTTTTTCGCATTCGTCATAGTCGAAAACACTTGTGGTCTAATGTCATTCTTGAGAGCTGAATCAACTGATTAAACACAAGCTGGCCATTCAGCAGTCTCATAGAAAATCGATACAAAAATCGATTTTCCACTGATTCATCCTTCTGAACTCGCATTAATGTGGGTGCAATTAAGAGAACGATTTGAGAGGGAAATTTCGTTTGTAATCGCTGAATTTTCCGCATCTCTTGATAATCTTATGCACCCTGATGGGAGCAATAAAATTTGATGCGACATTAATAACTTGTTGCGCAGTTAGTAGATGGGAAAATGATTAGGCACATTAAAACAATAATTGTGACATCGCATTTTCTGGTTAGCTCTACGGGACTAGGAAAATGCTCCTGTTTAGGTAGACGACTGTGGGAACAAAATCTAAGCGTTTTTTACAATTATTTCCCATTTTTCAAGTCGATATTTTTGGAAATTCTAAACATCTTATTTGAAAATCGTACCCCACTCTTCCAGAACAGATTTCACAAAATCGTTCTTTAAAGAAAATTAGTGAATTTTGGAAGAAGCTGATCTACAGAGGATAGCTCATCAGTCGAGTCAACTTTCACCGGCAGTTAAATTAGTTCTCAAATTACAAGGGTCAGATAGTTAATGAAAGTAATTGTCATTTTGTTGGGACAAATGAGGCGAAATACAAATATTTCATTACGCCTTCAACCAAATAATCATTTATTTGCGGATACATTTCTCTGGTTTCAATTGAAACATCGTGACAACCACTCGTTGCGATGTCCGAGCTTCGAGTAAATCCCATGCAACCTGCTTATGCTTCGGCAATGATGGAAGGTATCAATTTTCCTCTTTTCTTTATTTTGATTGGTGAGTTTGTACCAAACACCAATCACTTGTTTGGGTAGTCCAGTGCTGTTTTTTTGAGGTGACGCCCACACGTTGATATGGACATTCTTAATTTTATCCCTTGATTTTTCCTTAACTAAGTTGAATTCGAGTAACTTTTTTGACAACCTGAGACTTCTTGAAGGTGTTAAGAAGGAGGTGAACATATTATTTTTTTATATTGCCTCCGAAATAGGTAAAAATATTAAGCTTTGAGATTATTTGTCTAAAAATTATGAATAATTACAAGAGGCGAGCATTTAAACCAGCCACTGGTTGGTAATGTTGCTTTATTGTAGCAATTCTGACAACCCTGGGGAGCAAGCTACTCGTTGGTGTCGACACTGTTTGTTTCGCCACGTCGTAACTAGGGTCGCAGTCGTCATGGCAACCAACAAAACGTCAGCTCGACCACACACGCTCGGGGCCGCAACTGAATGGGCCTTCTGTTCTAGTCCTGTCTGCAAATAAGCGTGCGTGCGTGCGTGCGTGTGTGCATTCCAATGTAGTCCCATTGAAGTATTTTGCTTAATTTCGTCACTACGGGCCCTTGGAAACCACTGCCTTAGATTGAAGTTCCTTTTGAAATAGGGGTACATTTAGCATAATCGAATAACAATTGAACTGGAATGAATTAATGTGTGGTTTAAATCGTCTTAAAACAGCGTTCCAACAATCTCACGATTTGTTTAAGTCCCATTTAATCGCCTTTCCGTCAAGGTAACACAAGATTGACCAAATTTGTTCTTATTTCATCACGTCGGGATCACCAATTGTTGTGGGTCCCAGCAAGTGGTCTTGAAGCACGCCAGGTCCACTGAATTAACCCTGGCCCTATTACGCTCCCCTGATACCCGTAATGAAGAAAAAGACCGGAGAGGACGTGGACACAACCGTTTACTTCCTAGCTCAACCACGTTGGTGTCGTTGTGTCGCTTGTGGGGTTTGCGCGTGTGTATTTATACCTCAGATGCGTGAGTCATAGATTCGCTGACATCGAGACCTGGGTGTGGGGATAATCCAAGATAATGCGGGGGAGTTGAGGGGACCTCCTATTGGAGGCTAGAGTGACCGGATCGACTAGTGGGAATCAACGCGATGCACAACACTTCTCCTTATCTAGGTCACAATCTTCCAATCACCAGGCTGTAGTGGAAAGACTCTCAAATAGGTTGGCAGTAAAGTGATCTCGGTTTGCTACATGGATTTGTTTATTCACTTACTTGATGGATAGTATTTTTGGCTCACTTAAACCGATGCTTCCTCATAGATTTGTTGACAGATGCTCGTTCAGGGACAACTTTCAAATGGAGCGATTCAAAAACAAACAGTTTTGACAAAAAATGCAACCTTTTTTTCAATTCTGCTAAGACAGGAATGCTGCTGAGACTAACAAAGATATGTGTGAGATGTCATGGCGCTATTGATCACCAGTATAAAATCAAAGTGCCTTCTACTTGTTAAGAAATTCGATATTTGTGTTCCACAGGGTACACAGGTGATTCGTCTAAGACAGCACATCAATATTTAAACCAACCTCTCATCACTGGTCATCGGAAATGCCATAAATTTGCAATTAAACTTTCACTAATGACACCCACTAACCCTAGGATTCTGTTTTTTGCAGATATCAAATTTAAAAAGGCAGCGGATGTCACTTTAACTTGTCTGATTGTAAATCTAGAGTCACTGAGAAGAGAGGACCCTTAAATTGGGCTAGAAGACTCCTATTGGCCCACTTCCGACTTCGCCTAGTGCCGTTACTTAGTTGTTCCACCCCAGTACTTGTAATTTGTCGATTTGCGACCTGTTTCTGGGATAATGTTTGTGTGTGAATGTGCTCCTGTGTAAGCATTCACACCATTAAATGTGCCATAGTGACAAGACTAGGCCCACCTGCCCACCAAAACAACGAAGTTCCGCAGAAGTGGGGTGGGGGGGCACAGGAGGGTGGCCGCGGGTGCACCTGGTTTACCACAGGCAGCGTGACAAATTATAAGGCGAAAATGAAAATAATTGTTCTTTTTTTCTAAATAAAAAACACTTAGTTATGCATCTTAGCCATCGGGCAACGTAAACACAATGAAGTGGCGTTGGCTGAAAAAAATCGATGAATAATCAATCGCGTTTTGAAATGGCGCGTCACATCGAGTTGGATTCGTGCGCCTGCAAATGCAACCGCGAACAATTTAAACACCACGAAAGCCACAGGTAAGTATTGAGCAAGTTTAGGGGGAGTCCGCAATATTGAATTTTTACGTTCTTGTGCGTTTTAATTAAGTGCATTGTCATAAATAAAAATCATTTGAGTTAAAATCCTTAATAAAAACAGTTCAAATCAGTTTCGCTTGTTTGTCGGCACTAAAATTTCGACAATTTTTGGTGAATCAACATCACAGTGGCTGAGAAGACTTCCAGACTCAGTACAAAGCCATTTCCACGGTCAAATTCTGTCCTCTAAAAATTAAACATGTCGTGTGTGTGACCTCAAGTTAAATGAGAATTTTTCATGCATTTTTTGCCTCATTGAATTATTCATTATGCAGACTTTGCCGATGTTGCCGTTCTTTGCGGCTGGTAAACACGATTTACGTGCCAAAACAATCTGTTATCGCGGTGGCTTCCACTTAACACGATTAAAAAACCGAAGACGCGCAAACGCGAGGTGTCGCGATGCTTGGCACGATGACAATTCAGGTGAGTAATTTCACCTGTCACAATCCAGGCTAGTCTCAGCAACTAGCTGGAAGGCATTGAGACCTCCTAGGTAGGAGATGAGAGGGGGAGATAAAGACGCAGAGTCTTGTACCGTTTTGGCACGTAGATTCGCGTGCATTAAGTGCTCATGTGTCACTTAGTGTCATACCGACGTGATTCATGCATTCTAATCTTCAAAGTGTTGCACGATATACACTCTACCGACACTGTCTTCTCGTAATTACATAAAGAATCTTGGCGCATGTGTGCTTTTCAAAAACAAGAGGGTTGACAGTTTGGTTGAAACGCAAGATGAATCCACTGCCATTTGAAGCTGTGTGATGCTGTAGAGCTTGTTAATCCCTCGTGCGATGGAACGCCACTGAAAGTGGTGCCGAAGTCCTCTGGCAGACACCCTAATGCCGTGGTTGGGTGGTTCATTTACAGGAAGCGAGAAGTCTACTCTGAAACCGAATCTGCTAATCCAACGTTCCATGGATTAAGTCACAGAGCACCGGTGTAGGGTTCTGTCACAACTTCCTTGTCAACTGCACAATTTGCTAATTTATCATCCTTGCTTCGTCAAAACCATGACAGTGGCGTGGTTTCAGTAACTTTTTTATTGAAAAAATTGCAAATTCTCGGCCTAAACAGACCTACCCTTTACTCTTTTTTCATTTCTGCCACGCACGAATTATGTAGCCGTACTCGATCATTCCGGTCTTCTTGTCCACAAACTTCCTGATAATCTGGTTCACCTCCTTCTCCGGCAGCGGTTCCTCGCTAACCTCCATGAGGATCTTCTTTAACTCCTCTGCGGGGAGTTTGCCCTTGTCCTCATTGTCGAAGGACAGGAACGCGCCCCAGCACTGGCCTTCGCGTTTCTGCGGATCTGGGATCCACAGATGCGCGACCACGGTGAGCACGGTGTCGAAGTTGACGCGACCTTTCTTTTTCGGATCGCAGGCCTCCTTGTAGCCCTCAATTTCAGCCTCACTTGGGACCAACTTGAGCCAGCGCAGGCAGTCACCCAACTGCGAAGTCAATATTGTCCCGACATTCTCGCGATCAAAGTATTTGAAGGCCGTCCGCACCTCGGCGATCTCGTGGTCCATCATGTCTTCCACCTTCATCTTGGCGGCTGGCTGAATTTGTCCGCGCCACGCACCTCGCTTCAGCCCGGCTTACTAATCGATAACTTGAATTTTGTTTAAACTCACGCGGCAACGTTTGTGATTGGTGGTTCAAGGTCAATAATTTTAGCAGAACAAGCACAGCAGATCTGACCTTTACGAGTGTGATTCACATTTGATCACACCAAGATCACTGTGGTTTGTTGGAATCAAAGGAAAAGCCGGCTGCAAATCTGTTTCGTGTGAATGGAATCGCTGTCTGGGAGCCTTCAACGATGTAAATCACTTGTCGTTTGGAAAATGGCCCTTATGGTGCCGAAATTCCTCGCAAACTGCCACGGTTACAGTTGCACAACCCACAAATCACTGCGCATAATGACCTTCCCATCGTCTCGAACGCTTCGGACCAATCAAAGCCTTACAGCCAAGCGTGAAATGACTTGTGTTTGGTCTTTCGTAACAAATGTCTAATTAACATGGCGGATAAGTTGCTACTTTGGTGCTTCTTCGGGTAAGAAAATTTTGTTTCAGAACGAGGATTTTCCATGCACACTATTTCATATCGATCACCCTCGAATATCATTGGCCGACTAACAACACACAGGCACCAGTATAAAAATGCATAAATGTAACATTACTTGGTGTATTGTTTTTACTATATAGTAATATCAAACAAAACGGTTTATTGTTAAGTTAGAACTAATGGAATACTAATGTTAATGGAGCAAAAAACTAAAAAAACTATTTCTACTTGCAAATATAAGTAGAGAGTCTTATAAACTTCAATCTAGAGCAAAGGAACACAGTAGTCAGTGGATTGAAATGTAAACAGCGACATTTTGGCTGTGCTATGATGAACTAGCTCGGCAAGTGTGTGTGATCCGGTAAAGAGTTCGAGAAAGACGAACGCACACAAACATTTTAAATTAAACAACTGGCAACAGGGAACAATGAACTCCCGTCAACAATGAACTCCCGTCAACCCAGTACATCCTGTTTCCTCGTCGATGTACTGGGTTGTCGGGATCTACCCAAGACACCTTTAAGCGTTTAGATTTTTCGACCACAATATACATTCAATCACCCGTCACAATCTCGCACTAGAAGTCCATCTACTGGTTGTTGCCGACGGCCAAACAGTGAAAGGCGCGTGCTCACTCAACACCCGTGGGGAGCCAACTTCCACGTTCTGAATTCTTCAGTTTTGGTGCAAAGGCTTGGAAATGGCTGTTTTCCGTATACTAGTAAGAGCATTTATGAATTCCTGCAGATGTTTATGGAAGCAGTATTTCTCTCTGGTGGAACACGACTCCTCCGTGATTCTCTAAGTATGGCCACATTTTGTTAAATGTACCATAATCCAATTGCTGGCTTAAATCTTAGAGTTGATTAGCTGTTTCCACG